AAATTTAGTATTATATCGTGAGATATTTTATGGTGTCTGGATTTTATCTTACTTCCTGGAGTAAAAGTACTTTAGGCAGCTTGTATGTGAGTATTCCTGTGTTTTCCTGCCCGAATCTAAAGCATGTGTGATCTACCAGCTTTGGACTTGCAGGTAAACTGTGCCTGGTCAGGTTCGACCCCTCCCCTAAGTAATTAGAACATCAGATAACACAAATGATCAACAGTGCAGAGGAAAGGCTAACCCTAGTTTTGCCCTTCGGCTACATGTGAAGCGCAACAAAGCCAGACAATGTGTCACCAGTCAGTTCGGCTTCATGTTTCTTTTACACAAAAATATTACATCCTGAACTAGTGCAAAACTACAACTGTGCACCCAAAAATACTTTGGAATATTATAAACAAATTTGATATATTTCAATGATTCTATTAAAAAAATGACAGGTCAATATATTTTATAGCATCTGTTTCTCTTGGATTTAAAAAAGATTAAAAACTGTTTATTTCGCAGGACATGGTATAGTCAGCACAATCACTGAAAACAGTGATGAGTTGAAAAAAAGTCACGGACATCGAATATAGGGAGAGAAATTTTTGAAATAGTGTATATTTCCTTACATTTTGAAGATGAAATAAAAGTGTAGTGGAGCCATGCAGGGGGTTTTGAAGCAGTGGCCTCAGCCACAAAAAGTGTTGAAAGTGAGCAAACATGTAAGATTTGCTAGATGTTGTGTTCCTAACACCGATTAGCAACACAGACGTCAAGAAAAGAATATCACATTCAAACACTAAAGATGTTCACAAATAAAAGTTGGAGAATATGTGTAACACTAGATCAATCTGCAACAAGCTACCAGAACATTTATATTATATTAAAGAGGTAGCAAATAAACAGAACAGTTGCTATCTGCAGAAAGGATCCTAGACGCTAACCTACCCTCCACATAGGACTAGGAAAGAACAACTAACATCTCACCCAACACATCCTGGACAAATCTATTTTTCTTTTTTAATCAGTTTTATTCTGAAAACATCTTTAATGAGAGCAAAGAGGGATAAAAGTCAACTTGAGCAAAGAGGGATAGAAGTCAACTTCTTTATTTGTGTGACAAACCTGATTAAGACTTATTCTGATTTTAATTAATTAAAAACAACTATCTTCAATATTTGGGTGCTTGCTAAATTTGGTAAAATGGTAAATCTAGAGAAAGTAAAATGCTCTTGATGATGTAAAGACATTGGAATTAGTTGTGATGACCATGGTAAATGGAATTGACCAAAGCGCTTTACACTACATTAAGCCATCCACCCATTCACAAACACACTGATGGTGGCAAACTACATTATAGCAACAGCTGCCATGGGGCTCACTAACAGAAGCGAGGCTTCCGTACACAGGGGCTACTGAGCCCTCTGACCACCATCAGTAGACAATGAAGGTGAAGTGTCTTGCCCAAGGACACAACAGCACTGAAAGCTGGAGCTGCAGCTTGAACCGTCAACCCTTCGATTTCAGGGCAAACTCCTTCATCTGATACCACTGTCGACCACATGAGGAATGATTTGGGTAGTGGGGAAATTACTTATGCCAAGTCAAACTTTTCTATGGCCAAATGGCAATTTGATGCACAGACAGCAGTGAAGACATTCAAAAACAACTACAAAAAAGAGATACGAAAGGGATAAGTTCATATTAGTCAATATCACACGGACCTTGTTATGACAGCCCAAATAGCAGAGAGGACCCATAGACCCAATCTATACAGTTTAAATGCAGGGGAAAAAAGCTATATTTGGGTGAGTTACACTTTAAGAATTTGGAACTTGGAAAGGGCACTCTTGTCAGCAATTTTACTTACAAACCTTCATAATTATCCAAAGAAAATTCACATTTTTGATGGAAGGCGATCAATGCTCACTCATAAAAGCGAACGTAAGACTAAAATCAATTAAAAAAAAAATAAAACATCTGAATGAGAAATAATCTGACTTTTAAAGTATGATACGCATGCTTACAACGTAATCTACCTGCAACTACCGGTAAAACTCATATTTTCATCAACTACTATTTCCAGGTGTTTATATTCTGACACCAGCTCCACTGTTTGGTCATTGATTCCAGCTGGAGAGGTCAGTAGGCCCTATGGAGATTTTCCCAAAGTCCCAAAGTATGCATTTTTCTTTTGTTTCATTCACATTAATATTTTAAAACAGCATTTAAAAGAATGCATTGTCAACCAGACATTTCTCTGCTAGAAAGCAACATGATGACCAAATGTTCAGAAAACCAAATAATGTAGTGTCTAATGTAATGGCTCTGGTTACCAGTGGTTAAAATGTTTGCCCTTTTTATACAATACCTACAGATACATTTTAGATACATTTGTTTTTCTAAAGGAAATTCTTCCTTTGTCTTGGTTTTCTGTTTTTCCCTATTCAGACATTGGCCTCTGTGTCTCTTCTCATCACATGCATCAAACCGCGGGGCATCTTGTGACACATTCATGCTTCTTTAGCTGGCGAGGCCATGGCGCAGTATGCCAGCCATGTGCTATGCAGCAATTAACTCCTCTTTGAGCCGTTTCAGTCATTAAAGCTGTATGTGTGTGTGTGGGGAGGGGGGAGTTGAGTAGAAAGAGCTGTTTGTCCAAATGACTGAAGCAGACAGTTGGGCCTATTGATGAAATGTTAGGGCTAATTGGGAATACAGGCTGTAGCCCTGAATAGTCAGACCGTAGCTGCCAGAGCTCTGTTTCTTCTTTTACAAGACCCCACTAAAACATTTATGCAACTGTAACATCAGAGCTCAAGGAGAGGACCTGGTTCATTGTACTTCAGCCCACCGGTTTAAAACAGTTATGGCTACAAAGGTTGTGGTAAAACCGTGACCAATTTTTTCAGCATTTGTGATGCATACCAAATTTGTAAAAAGAAGTGCTTTCAAGCCGGGATTTTTGTGCATAACTTATCGTCTTATACATCTACTTTTTTAAAAAATCTTCTCTTTTTTTCTCTATTATTGCTGTCACTTAAACAAAGACATCAGGGCATTTTTTAAAAGACTGGTTAATTCTATTTAACATTAAAATAACCTGGAAGTGGATCATTGTTTCTTAGATCAATGGTTCAGGCTGGTGTTGGTGATTTGATGGTGGAAGTTATACTTCCATGACACACTTTGCATATCCTAATTCAAACTGGGCATCATCTGGACCCCGAAACCTATCTGAGGATTACTATAGTGCATCTCCATTTCTATATAACCACAGTATACATATCTTCCAATGTCTACTTCCACCAGTATAAGGCAGTAAAAATCTATTCATCTCCAATTTTATTCTTAAAAAGGTTATGCTTTCAGATAACTTCCTTTTACCTCATCTGAATCCAAAAGGGCACTTTTGGTATGTGGTAGTAAGGAAGAATAAGGATGATTAGGATGGTAGTAAGGATGATTAAATGGAAAAGGCGTCAAACATTGCACAAGCAAAGTGTACCTAATTAAGTGTTGACAAATGAACAAGTCTTGTACAGACATTTTGCTGATGCACATGTGCTACTTTTTATAACAAATGAATATGTCCAACATGTCACTCCAGGACTGAGGCACATCTGCAGCAACACAGAATGCAACCGAGATAACTAGTGATCAGATCTCTTCAAAAATGCATCAAACCTAATGCAATGAATTATAAACCAATCAGAACCACCCATTAGCATTGTTTCTCTATCACTTTTATTTTAGTTAAACCTTATATGCATTCGCTGTTCAAAAGACAAGGCTCTATGTTTGCTAGATCACCTTTTTGCCTTTCCATAGAGCTCTAACTCTCATCATGCAATAATGATTGTTTGGCTTGCAGTGTGTTGACTTGAGCTGGGTTGCCTTTTTCCTAAGGGTCTTGTCTTCTTCTGTTCACATATTGTGCACCCAACCACCACATGTCATTAAACACTTAAATGAATGTATAATGTTGCCCTTAATAAATTAAGACACAACAAGTAAGATAAATAACCAAAGGCTGCAACAAATTCTTAGAAAGATTAACATTTCTAATGACTCAGAATTCACCAACTTTACTTTTTCCTCCAAGAATCTATGCAAATTGAGCATATGCGGATTTCTATGTACTGCCATGAAACCGAAGTAACTGACAATTTGCTGGTGCCCCGACTGGTGATATTGTTTTGTTTTTCTGTGTTTTTAGTTGTTTTTTGCCATGGCAAATTATTCAGACAAGAACACATTATCCCCTGTAAGTAAGTCATGTTGCTGTCAGAGGCTAAGACCTTAAAAGGTAGGGTATGGAAGACTTAAAAAAAACTACCCTGTCAGTCCCTGTACCTGAGAGGAAGCTCAAGAGGATTAAGATTTTAGTCAGTTTCATGTATTTTTAAAGTAAAAATCTTAAAGCATGAGGATGAATAAGGGAGCGGAGGATGTGCATCATACTGATGAATCAGATTAGTGCCCTCATCTTTCAGTCACTCAAGAAAAACAGAGCTGATACTGCATGTATCATCACATGCTGCCCTCTGGTGGATGGAGATTTACAATGAACATAACTGTACCTTTTTTTAAGCTATGTGATTGCATTTTAAAGAAAAGAGCATGTATCAAAGCGTGATTTAAATACTTTAAATTCTGATTGGAAGAATACCATTTATATATATTTAATAAATATATAAACCACTGTTTACTGAAAATGAGTCCCTTCCAGTTGCTAAATTTGTTTGTAAGAAGATTCAATTTGCAAAGCTTCCTCAGAAATATATTTTGACAGTTGGCATTAAATGACCAAATAAATGAACTTGAATAGTTGTGGGATTAACTGGACTGATCTGAAATTAATTAAAATCAGTTTTGATTCTGTATAAATATATATTATGTAAAATTACATAAATCTTTGAAAAGGGTTTGTTGGTGACTGAAACAGTTTGGAGCCACAGACAGGCTGCAGATCCAGGAGTGATTTACAAAGTGTACAGATGGAACCAGTGTTTATTTCTTGTTTAAGTTAATAGAGCTTTATTTGATTTCACCTGCATTCTCATTCAAAATGAATGAAAATAGAAAAGGAGACAGAAATGGGTAATGAATACAAATATACAAAGAGAAAGTACATTTTTACAGCCAGTTAAAATCACTGATCATCATTTAACCATATTGGCATGAGGCAACGCCTTTTATATTATTTTAGCACAATTTCCCAGAAGCGACATTGGATACAAGCCAAATGGTAACTAAAACTTAACCTCATGCAACTGGTCAACATTAAAATTGTACCTAAATTGAACCCAGACAATAGGAAACTGTGATTTAGTGCAGCAAACTCCCCACCCACCCTTTGGCAAGGCTAAATATGTTCAAGTCAGTCTCAAAGTTTCCAGACTTTGTGCGCATCATATCACCCATTGGAAGAGGAAATATGAAAAAATACAGAGTGACACCCATGCATAAATGATCAAGTCTTCCTGTTAAACACATGGCACGGGTCAAATTACTCCGACTGGTCCATTCAAAGAGAAGCACAGTAGTACAGTCAAGCACAGGATGACATAATAGGCCACATTGGTCAGAACTGATACAAATTTACTTCTGCTACCATAAAACATCCACTTCAAATTCCATAACCCCCCCCCCCCCAAAAAAAATTAACAAAAGCAACATTCACAAATATCGCATTTAAAATAATGGCACAAACTCCAATGAAGTGTGTACTGAACGAGCAGAATAACGAGAGATACCCGTCAAATACAGAGAAGTCAAATTCTAGTGCAACCATACAATAATTAGGGCTAACATTGATTTCAACATAGCATAATAAATAAAGGATGCAAAAGCAAATATAACTGATTATCATCAAAACAATTTAATTTACACAATCTCCAAAAGAGGAATGCAATGAAGGCACAAACATTATGTACCAGCCAACAGATGCACATGCTCAGGCACAGATGTTTAGTATGGGATCTGGTTTTGGTAGTACTGGAGCATATCGTATGTTCGGCTCCTGTTGAAAAAGAAAAGCAGAGACAGTCAGAAAAATCAAAGCAATCCCTGGAAGTTGCTGTTAAAGAAGATCATAGCATGATTGGTATCCACAAACCTGTTGCTGAGGAAGCAGTTCTGGATGACTTTAATGATGAAGGAAGCTGCATCTTTCTCGCTCAGCCCAGGGTTGAATCGCTGCCTGAATGTGCACACATATTATAAGCAAGAACAGCAAATGACATTTTAAATACCTTTGTGTTGGTTCATAGTAACAGAATCATAAAAAGCCAAACAGACTCACTTGAGTAGTTTGATGGTTTGCCCTCTGAAGCAGGGAAGACCTGTGTCCAGCATGAGATTTACCAGAGAGACAACTGCATCCATGTAGGGCCTGTTTGAACACAGGGGAACATAAAATAATTAGTAATCAACCCCTCTCACCGAGCAATAATCAGTTATATAAGGGTACCGGTTCTTAAATTGTGGGTAGGACCCCCTAGGTGGTACCCGATTTCTATATTTACACTACCCCTCCAGACCGAATGACCAAGTAAATGAACTTGAATAGTTGTGGGATTAACTGGACTGATCTGAAATTAATTAAAATCAGTTTGAAGCCACAGACAGGCTGCAGATCCAGGAGTGAGTTACAAAGTGTACAGATGGAACCAGTGTTTATTTCTTGTTTAAGTTAATAGAGCTTTATTTGATTTCACCTGCATTCTCATTCAAAAAGGTTGAAACTAGAAAAGGAGACAGAAATGGGTAATGAATACAAATATACAAAGAGAAAGTACATTTTTACAGCCAGTTAAAATCACTTATCATCATTTAACCACATTGGCATGAGGCAACGCCTTTTATATTATTTTAGCACAATTTCCCAAAAGCGACATTGGATACAAGCCAAATGGTAACTAAAACTCAACCTCATGCAACTGGTCAACATTAAAATTGTACCTAAATTGAACCCAGACAATAGGAAACTGTGATTTAGTGCAGCAAACTCCCCACCCACCCTTTGGCAAGGCTAAATATGTTCAAGTCAGTCTCAAAGTTTCCAGACTTTGTGCGCATCATATCACCCATTGGAAGAGGAAATATGAAAAAATACAGTGTGACACCCATGCATAAATGATCAAGTCTTCCTGTTAAATAATAATCAGTTATATAAGGGTACCGGTTCTTAAAGTGTGGGTAGGACCCCCTAGTGGTACCCGATTTCTATATTTACACTACCCCTCCAGACCGAGCTTTGATCACTTACTGTGCCGAGCTTTGTTCTTATGACCATTTTTCACATTGTCTAGACTTAGACAACTTTTATTGTGTTTTTGTATACACAGAGGGCCGGATCTATCAAAGGTTTGCGTGTATAAAAACGTGAGCTATTTCACTGCGCACGCTAAAAAATGTACAAACTGATCTATCAACAGCGTGCTAAAAGCATTTGGTCTTTAAAACGTGCTAAATAGCGCCTCTTATCCATTTAGTACTTTTTCTGCAATGAATATGCAATATGGGGCGTTTATACGCAAAAGTGCGTCTTGTGGGAGGAGAACATGTAAATATATTAATTTAGCACTCGGAAAGTGATTTATTAAACCTGAACGCAATTTTGCTAACGGTATCTGACTCTATATTTAACACGTTTCAAAAGAAGGTGCAAATGGTCTGTATGCGTAATTGCGCACACATGGCAGCGGTTATTGTCGCAAGAAGGAGACATCGAAATGAAGCAAGGAGACGCAGAGAACGCATTTTTTCACTCCGTGTGAATATTTTTGCAATGAACGAGGAAACGATCATCAAAACATATCGTTTATCCAGCATTGCCATTTTGGAGCTGTTGGGGGAACTCCGAATGGATTTGGAGCCAGCCACAAGGAGGACCCACGCAATACCAGATATCACAAAACTCCTTGCAACATTGCACTTTTTTGCATCTGGGTCATTCCAGCGTACGGTTGCAGCGAGAGCTGGGATCTCCCAATCTCGTTTTTTCAGAAGTGCTGTCCGACGGGGTCGGGGTTCTCCCCCTGCGCCTGTGGAGCAACGTACCAAATGCTGCGGGGATCCCATCCACAGTCACAGGCCAATACAAAACACCTGTTTTTTTTTTTGTTTGTTTTTTACTGCAGCACATACACCTTAGGGAATAAAGGTTGCCAATTTATATATATATAAATATATTTATTTATTTATTTATTATTTATTTATTTATTTATTTTTGTTGGGGGTCACTGTAAGATTTAAATTTCTTAATGCACTAGTTTGTACAGACTACAAACTACTTTGCCGCAAACCACAAAACGCGCAAAACCATCATTTAAATAGGGCGTCTCCAACAGTTTTGCACCTGCCACCAGTTACGCAATCACTCTTGTTAAATCACCCGCAAACCATGGTTCAGCCCCTCGCGCAAAATTCCAGTTTGCGAGCGCAAATTACTGCACGCAAAATTGGATCTTGATAAATCCGGCCCAGAGTGTATAAAATGAAATTCTGTTTAGTACAGCTTTCCAGACAGTAAATTAACATTTCCATTCCTTAAAGTGCAGCAGTGATCAAATGTGTGGGAGAAATAAACAACGTGCAAAAAAACACACAAAAAAATCCATTAATATGGAAGTTTCAGTGTTATGCAGAGTCTGTGACATGATTTAGAGTTTTTTCAACAGTTCAGCGCTCTGATGGTGGTAAGGAAGAAACTGTTGCAGAATTTTCTGGACCTTCATCAAACTAATGTGTATTCTTTCTATCTTAAATGATTCACACAGCATCATCAGAGTGGTGAAAAGCCAAGATGTGAAAAGTATAGTTTGCATTACATCAGTTGACCTACTAATGTTGAGTAGTAGGGGTGTAAGAAAAAAATTGTTTCTGTCTAATATTGCAATGATTCATTAGATATTGGTATGCATTCAAAATACGGCCAAATTAAACTAAAATTTTAAAAATATTAATAAGCAAACATTCATTTCACTGGCTTATTTTTATATAACTCAGGATTGCAGCTGCAGCTGGTAGTTGGAAGAGTACCACCCAAGAGTCTATTGTTCAGTTGCTCTTCAGCCGCCGCAGCAGAGCAACATCATGATCTGGTGAGGTTTCCCAGTGCTATACTATTATAAAATCACAATATATAGTTTTTTATACTGTATCAGAATATGTTGGTATAAATCATGACACGTAATCGTAATAACAAGCGTATTGTCAAATTCTTGCCAATTCACAACCCTAACAAGAAGTTATACAGTATAAGAGTAGTACCAAGTTTATGATGTAAGATGTTGCCTTTAATCAATAATAAAAAGGTCGTGAGTACCCTAAGTTGCAAGTGAGCCCACAAAACTGTGATCAAATAACTTCTATAGATGGGCTTAGCATGAAAGATGTATTTAAACCCCTCTGGAAACTCACCTCACAGCAAGGTATCCCCTCACACACATTTCCATGAACCACTTGAAAGGCGTCGCCTCCATCTTCCCACCCATGATCATCACCATTTCATCTGTGAGCTTGATATCTGGCTCCCAGCCCAGATTTCCCCCAGGAGAGCTTTCAAACATGAACCCAAAGTCTAAAAGCATAAATAGAGCATTAGCCACAAAAATGAAGGTTTAAAGCCGGGTCCAACTAGGCCCAGGAACTAAAAATACATGTAGCTACTTGAAAATGTTAATGAATATTGCAGACAAGAGTAAAATTGAAGAAACAGCTGAAGATCAAAAACATAGGGTTCATTACAGCAACAATAATAAGATCCCCCCAAAAAATGTGTGCAGGAACAAAGTAGCTTTAAAATTTTCTGTATACATGTTGCTTTTTAACATGCCTAATCTATTGGAAAAGGTAACAAAATGTCATGTTTCTCTAGGTTGTGAAAAAGAAATGACAGTTGCCCATTTCTCTTAGGCTAAATTCAAATATCTCAATATGTCAAACTGTTAACGACACACAGAGGAAGTTGCCATATTTAGTGCTATCAAAATAGTGCAGGCAGTAAGGAAGGAGCTAGGAAGCTGAAGCAGTATAGTTCCTAGAACCGATTCAGTTAGCATAGGGACCTCCTGATGTTCACATCAGAGTTTAACCTGTTCAGGCCTCTTTCATGAATTTATTGAGGCATGTTTGAAAAGCATGGTCGGACTTTCATTCAAATCGATCTTTTTTTTAATTTATTACTTTTACGAGATTACATATTTTTTCTGTGACAACCGTTGGTTTTTCTTTCATTAATGAGGGGGGACCAACAATTCTGTCCATGTGTTTAATTTATTTCTTCACGCGACACATGCTTACGTCTGCAACTTCATGTTTTTAGGTTTTCAAATAGGGAGCTTCATTTGTTCGCTCCGTTTGTTTAACTTTTGTTTGTTTTTGTAGATCTTTTCCTAAAGGATATTGTCCTTATTTGATAAGCATCATTCATGTGCATGTCAATCTCGTAATGATGTTCATAAGGCTGAACGCTGTCTGGAGCTCCTTTCCTACCCTGGATAGTGTTCCTTCTGCTAACCCAGCAACAGGTAAAGGGTTAGGAGCTAGGAATAGGAGGTAGGAGCTACAACTTCTGAAGGATATTCAGTATGGGATAGTCAAAAAGACATGGCTTTTACATAAAGCAGATATATGTAAAGTCAGGAATCAACCGCAAGTTGCTACTTCCTCAAACTTTACTATTAACACTTTCAGAGCACCAACTAAAAGTTAAACACTACTCAACGAGTTGCATTACAACTTAGACAATGATCCAAGTTTATTTCACTGGCTCATACATTAAGTAAGATATTAGAGTAGGATTAAAATCCCTACAACATAATGGTAGAGAAAAACATAAATGAAAAGATAAAATAAGAATGTTTTGAGTATTTTCATAGGACTACCAATAAATGTGGATAACTCTTTATGATTTAAAAGAAATGCTAAACATTTGGTTTATTGTCTAAAGATTTAAAGTCTAAAAATAGATTAAGATGTGCCCACCGATGTGAATGAGGTGGCCCTGGCTGTCCAGCATAATGTTTCCGTTGTGTCTGTCTTTTATCTGCAGCAAGAAGAGCAGCAAGCTGTAAGCTGCCATACTGCGAATGAAGTTATACCGTGCCTAAAAAAGACAAAATATTAGTTCAGATGTCAGTTTGCATTGAAGTAATAGGATGGTTAGTGGAGGATGTCTTAGTATTTACCTTCTGAAAAGCAAGCGTGGATTCATCTCCATACTGGTTCCTGAAGTAATCATACATCCCGAAGTCAGTCTGCCGACCCAGTTGGTCCCGAGACTTGCAGTCTGGGATGCACTCAATCACTCCACACTATGGAAACAGTGATATTATGAAAGGGGTAGAGTGGCTTACAGAAACCACCATTCCAGTTAAACATTTGTGTCTAATTATTTAGTTTTTTGTTAAAGATATTTTCTGTAGAGGCCGAGAAACTGCATTTCAAAATACTATAGACTAGTCGAGTTTAGGCAAGCTAGGTTACACTGTACTTTCTCTTTAACCCAAGGTGTGATACATGAATCTTAGCAGTTCAAATGATTTTATCTCTAAGAGACTGCTGTTAACCAAAGAAACGTTCAGTAGCAACAAAAGATAACGTCTAGAAGCAGCAGCACACAAGGCCCAGGTTCATTGTGGCTTGTTCTGCTCTTGGGTTTAGAGAAGGTCGTGTCCTGACCCAAAAAAACAATGTGAAGAGAAGTTACTCATTAAAACAACAGTGAGTTTCAGTAGTTTCAGAGTTGAATCTCCCTCAATCAGCTTCCAGTCTCAGAATCATAGTTGTGCTCAGGGATTACTAAAAGTAATAAAAGCTGACAATGTCTTTTCCACCACTGTAAAAGTTCCAATCTTTAGCCACATAGTGCTATGAAAGTAAAATGATAGAGATTATTTGCAAATCAGTTTAAATCTGTAGTTTTTACATAGAAAACTCTGAACCTATAATTATCCACCATCAGGCAGAATTTAAGTCAAACATCCAACTTGAAACTCTTATATTCTGAATTTAGAGAACAATATGGTACATACTATTATAACAGACCAGTAATAACCATTATATACCTTTATGTTTTAATGATTACTTATTGCAAGAAATGAAATGTGTGCCCTAGGAAAAGATATGACAAATTTTATTTTGAAATTTAATTTAATAGACCTAATTTCAGAATCATCACCCATTTTTAATTGAATTCAGAAGATAAACAAAAAAAGTTATTTTTGAATTGAATTTATAGTATATATTTGTAGAATAGTGGCAATGTATCTAAGCATATTCATGTATATAGCTTTTAGATTAAGCTTAAGATTCAATTAGATAATGATTTGTGCATAAAATCTGTCAAATATTTTCCATTATGCTTTTCTTTTTTTAATGAATGAATAAATAAATAGATCTGGCTGCATTTGGGAAAGTACATTTTTTGTAATATTTTGACATTTTAAATTTTGTTTGTTTGTTTGCGCTGCGATGGACTGGCGACCTGTGCAGGGTGTACCCTGCCTCTCGCCCAAAGACAGCTGAATATACTGTAGACACCAGCACCTCTTGCAACACTTGGTGTTAAGCGTGTCAGAAAATGGATGGATGGATCGAAAATTGCTTTGTATGAGGAAATAGTTGAGTCTTACTCCAGGAGCTGTGGCCACCACTCTGTAGGGAAAAACATAGAGATCCAGCCCTCCCAGCTGGAAAATGTTCTTGAACAGGCTGATTATCTGCAAAGCCAACATGTCCTGCAGACACAGAGAAAGCGGTAAGAAGAGGAGCATATGATTTAAGATTCATAGCTTCCATCAGGGAATGATAAAAAGGACATTGAGCTTTTTAGACCTGTCTGCAGTCATCTCCAACTTTGAAGATAGCTGCTTGCCAGCAGATTCTCCTGGCCTCTTCCTCACCATTCATCTCATCCACAGAATCTGAATGGGACTGAAGTCCTGTAGGAGAGGATGGTGAGATGGACAAGCAAATTAGAGAAATATTAAATCTACTTTAAATATTCCAGATCACTTTTCACAAGATGTAGAATATTTTGGATGTTTTTGCCACTAATAGTACCTTCTTTTTCTAGCTCACTCACTCCACATCTTCTAACTTTGAACTTGGCCAAGTATGGGGCTTTGGCAGCACTGCAAAAAAGAGAAAAGGCATTTGAATATTTTATTTTGACAGATAAAACAAAAAGGTAATTATATAAATCTGATTTATTCTTGTTGATCTGGTGGCTGACCTCTGCATGGGAGTACCAGACTTATAGTCTATATCCAAAACTATGGCCTCAGGGTTACTGGGAAGATAGCACCCACATTGGACTTTAATCTGAGCCAAGGCTTCCAGACAAGCCTTTTTCCGTCCCTCCCCTTTAGGAATAGGCCTGAAAAAGACAAACAAAAACAGGTTACAAACAACTTTTCTGATCTTCTGTGCATGGACGTTTGTTATTCAGACTACTGAGCTCAATGGGCATCAAACTAAATGACTTCAGACCACAAGTGACAGCTTTTTCTGCTGTAAATCACAGAGGAGAGTCACTTATACAGAGTGGAGGCCTTGGGACAGTAGAGATTTCTCCCCTGTTGTTGCAATTAGTGCTGTAATGAGGGCAGAGGGGAAACCTCTGGTCTCTTCTGAGCTGACACAACACTTTCAGTAAGAAATCATCTCATTGAGTCCACATATTCACAGACACGTGTGTTTTCCAGATCAATGCATGATGGAAACGACAGAAGGGCAATTGGTGGCTAAATTAATGAACAACAAAGGGATTCAGAGAGAGGAAGTGGAACAAAACACCTTCACTGCTGGGAAAACACGCCACTTCATAAACACCTTAAAGATTACATGCAGGATTCTAAACTAAAGTTACAAGGTGATAACTTTAAGACTGTAAAAATTATCTACATTTTTTCAGGGTCAGTGGGTTAGATTGAAAATATTTTGATTTTTTATTGGTACCCAATTTAGCTTTTAATTGGGAAAATGGTCAATGTGTGTTAAAAACAGCCCCATAATATGATGACTCCCAGCAGCCGTTTCAAATATAAAGTAAAGAGTTCAGTGATAGGAAAATGTATTGACTGTAAAAGCTATGGTTACTGGAGTATAAACCAAAAGCTATGCAAAATTGTGTTTTTACATTGTTCAAAGGAAACAAAACAATACAAACAATAAGGTCCTATTCTATGATGATTTAAAGTCCTGTTAGTGTCACTTCATTTACTGTATCTAATAACAAACTAACCTCTACTTTACTAACAAACGATGCATAATATGAGAGTTTAAGGCAGATCCAATCACTTTCAAACTTGTTTTGTTTCACAACTGAAACTTGACTCAAAGTAAATAAGCCAATTTTTTCACACAGTAAAATTATCAAAGACAATTCATTTAAATTCTGCTGAATATAAGTCCATTTTAACATCTTAAACTTTGTCAGTTTTAGTATTTTTTTACCCTTAAGGAAATAATAAATCAGTATTGACCAGTAAAAGCCTGACCAGTTCATCAGCGCATATTTCTGCGCCTGGTGACAGCTGATTTATATTGAGTTGGACTGTGTCTGTTGCACTTTTTGTGCATCATCACTAGGGGTGCACCGATTAATCAGCCGGCCGATTTAACGGTCTCGATTTGTGATCGGCCGATATTTAGATTTGAAACTGATCTTTTTCACAGATCTTATCTACCTCTGCAAAAGTCCAAAAGTCAATGCTCCAAACTTTGATCTATATTTGAGAGCAGTAATTTCAGAAGTTTTTAACATTTCACAGGTATTGATTAATGCCTTTCAGTAAGATAAGGGGTATTTAAGGGGTTTTGTGATCTTACAACAGACTATATCGGTTATAAAAAAAAAAATCTGTATCGATGAAGATTGGAATCGGCATGTTCAGGGATTAAAGCAAAAAAAAAAAAAATCCTTTACTTTGAAACCAGGTGGTCTGCGTGAGTGTCACAGTGAACGCAGAGATGTTCCCACCTCCTCTGCAGACACTCTGCTTTATCTCTCCCAAATTATAGGTGACCGCAGACAGTGCCACAGACAGGAGGCCTCTGGTCAGATCTACATCCGCTCTACACTATGCGTATTTCCTGTTTGGTACCTTACCGGCTTGTTTTGTTTGTATGACCGCCATTACAGAAAACGACTCGTGAAGATGGACAAACAAGAAGAGCGAGGTGCGTGAGAACGACCCTTTTTCCACCTGGTTCCCCGCCTTTTTTGCCGTCCTGTTCCTCCCATGTCGCACAAACTTGCCACAACTTCCTCACCGCCTCGGCCGTATCTAGACCCACAGCTAGTTCCTGATTGCCCCTCTTGCGTTGTGGTGTGGAATAACATAGCACAGACCACGCTTCAATATTTTTGCATAAATCCAAGTGTCTGTGCTATACCTACGAAAAGCTCACTGGGACACACTGCTGCAGGAGTATAACCATGCTGTGAGAGGTTGTGTTCGGTGAGGAAAGCACAAACCCTTATTTTTTACTTGCATACATGGTCAGTTATTGACGCTGGTAAATCAGTTGTTGCCGTAGCTCCCGGCAAACGTGTGCGGGACCGCACAAACAGCACTCTATTGCTATTAGTTTCAGAGCGCTCCTTTGCAACCATTGCCTGAGTGAGGCAAGAGGAATTTTGATTGTCTTTTTAAAATTTATTTACAATCAATTTATTTTCAAGTGATTTTTTTTTTACCCATGGGCAATCGCTACAAGCTGGAAATCCAGCCTGGGGCTGGAATACTTTAATCCCTGCATGTTAGCAATTCTAAAGATCGGGTATCGGTGATCAGAAAGCAGCGATCGGTGCAGCCTTAATCCTCACCATTTATAGAAATCGGTTTGCAGTGAACATTTTTAGAGCAAGAATAGCTTCAAGGATTTAAATAATGTTCAGGCAGCACAGAGTTGTGATTGGCAAGAAATAAAAGTGGGATGTTTAATCCTAGTAAAGGCACTAAAATGCATGCAAATATTTAATAGATGATGCAATTTTTATTAATTAGACAGGATAACATTAGTGTCTTTGTTTCCATATCTATGAATAAGTTCAGCCACCAGAGAGATTTAAATTGATCATTGAACAAAGCCCAATGGGCACCAAACTACATTTGGTTAAATAAAGGGTAAACAGAAACAAGGATTTTTGATGAACAAATTCTAATCAATGTGTTCATATAAGCATCCCAAAAGCAGGATTGAAAAACAGCCTAGATACAAACTGGTATTAGGTTCAGGCAGATAGTATGGTCCTACTTGATAATGGCAGAAACATTGGTGATCTCGTTGAAGAACTCAAACTCTCTTTGGTAAAAGTCTTTTGCTGGGCCAGAGAGCGATCCAGTAATCTCCTCCACCATCTGTTCCAACAACTCCCCGATGTCAGCTGAAGAGATGCAAAATATAAAATAAAAATCAGACATAATTATAGTTTTTATTACATTGCTTAGCCTCTCAGAATCTGCTCCTTGTGCATTTGTGTTGATTCTGGTTAAATATCTCACGGTCTTTCTGGTGTCCCTCCTCATCCAGGTAAATGTTGGTCTTCATGTTCCAGATGAACTGGTGAGCCAACAGTTGAGATTTCTGAGCGGCCCAGAGGATGTACTCTCTCACATAACCCATCTAGATTATAGAGAATAAACTCAGGAATGCACGTATAATGCAGGAGTTTAAATACATTTGCAGCATTGGATGTTTTAATACAAACCTTATCGTAGCGAAGGGCTTGGACAATTTGAGGGATGTAGAATAAAATGGCATCCTAGCAACACAAAAAAGGAGAATTTTTACTGATTACTGCAAATCAAATACATTTCAGAGCAGTTTTCAATTCTACATTCATTATGTGTTTATATGCATACAGGAGGAAAGGAGCGCAGAACTTTGACCCCATACTGAGCTGTGAGGGGGTGGGGAGGATACATGGAGGAGAAGTAGGACAGTCCAGTTGGTGGATCTGCTGGGGCCCAGCAGAGGATGTGACTGAGTTCTGGAGAGTCTGCATCAATTGTGTGCCAAGTCACCAAGAACTGCAGACAAAAGAACAGAACTTAACCAACATTTACATCACATTAGCAGATCCTAATGTGTAGCATGCATGACCCAATCGACTTCATGTTGGGAAAAAAAATCCTCCAGAGAAATCACTGTGTATGAGTCATATCAGCAAGTAAAAAAAAACAAAACAGATAAACAATGTCAAAGTGAATTATGCAGAAAGTGATGCAGCTCTTTAGGGACAGCTGTTGTCTTCTCCCTTGTCTCTACTTTACTCACTGATGGAGCCCATTAGGAGCTTGTTAAAGCAGAGCTAAACAAGATTAACCTGTTATGCAAAAAAGTTTAACTATAAGAACAAAGAAAGTTTATGATCACAAACGTTTAAGTTTCAGCGTTTGGATTTAAATTGCTTCATGTTAAGAAAGCAGATTGTGTACCCAGGTTGAGAAAAGAATCTCAAGCAATGAAACAAATTTTTTGTCCATTTCCATGAACCACATATCTCATTCAGTTGTGTATGAGGAGGGGGAAAAAACTTATTCTGTACTTTGTTTAGTTGGGGGCTGGTAATGCACATTTAGTTGACAAATATGTTCTTTCAACTATAACAATATTGTACAACTTTGGTACTTGATGTTTTGTCCATTCAACAAAAACCCACTTAGTCAGTCAAGATAAACCCTTCTGGTCTCAAACTGAGACCTGCTATTTAATCTCTATTTGTTTCAGATACATTAAAAACCCTCAGATACAAAAAATATTCAGGTACATTAAGTCAAATATAAATTGAGCTGCAAGCTATTTTCCTTTTTCTCTTTTTTTTCAACGGGCTAACCTTTACTGCTTCAGGAACATCGCAGACAGCAGCTGGATCCATTCGTACCAGACGTGTCACTTCAGACACAATAGACTCTGAGTTCTTAAATCTGAGAAAAAACATACAACACAAAACTGAGAGAACGTGTACTGATGAAGAAAAAACATTTATTTAAAACATAAAAAACACTGAAAAGGCTTGTGCTTAAGCATGCCATACTTAGGCTATTAAAAGAATGAAACAAACAGATTGTTTTATGTATAACTGCATACTTATTTGGCAATAACAACAAGCTAATTTCTATCAATTAAAAAGGAAAATTGAATTAGGTTTATTTATATAGTACCAATCCACAACACATTTCATCTCAAGGCATATTCAATCAGATCATACAGTCAGATTGTTTAAAAGTTTTCTATCCAAGGAAGACTAGCTGATTGCATCGACTCATTGACTTGAAGGCAATCCCTTACACCAAGCATGCTTGTAGCAACAGTGGAGAGGAAAACTCCCTTTAGTAGGAAGAAACCTCCAGCAGAACCAGGTAAAAAACCTCAGTGTAAAAATTATATGACGTGTATTTTTGATGGTTATAATTAATGTTTTTAACCATTTAAAAACATTTCCAAACCTTTCCAGATACAAATTTACAGGTTTCCTGGACTGTCTTACCAATAATTTTCATTCTTTCTGAATGAAAGCTCAATCATCATTATATAGCAAATTTTAAATTAGCAAACATCAGACTTTAACTGTTATGATTATTTGATGTAATTTGCAATCTGTATATAGAAAAAATGTTGGGTAAAAAAATATTTATATTTTGTAGGCTCATAATCAAAATCCACAGTGTTCAACTTTTGCCTTTAAGTGAGTAGGTAAAGTCTATTTAGATCAGACTTTCAAAACATGACCGTTAAAGTTGTGTGATTTTTTTTTACTGATGAAACCTTTTAGGGGAGTCGAAGCCCTTTTGTGTTTACAACATATGCACATAGGACATTAAACAGCAGGGGTCTTCAACCTTTTCCAGGCCAAGGACCCCCAAACTGATGGCGGGATGGAGCGGGGACCCCCTAATTATATATATTGTACGAAATTGTGTTATATCAAACTGATCCTATAGTCTCTCTATTATAGATGGGAGTAATGTAATGAAAGTAATTTCTCCCTGGGTTTATTAAAGTATTTCTGATTCCTGGTTGATGGGACAGGTGTTGTGAATGAAACGGTGCCTAGCTTGAAAGAGCTCCTGTGCGTCACTGAATTTGTGCATTAATGACTGAAAGACATATTCTGCCTCCATTTATCTGTTTACTTCAGTGTGTTAAATTCATGTTAATGTGTATTTAAAGACATTTCAATAAGTGGGAATATTGCAGGGGGGAATATATAAAAAAAAAAAGTCTAATAAACCAAAACTTTCGTGACCCCCATGCAGAACCTCCGTGGACCCCCTAGGGTCGCGGACCCCCTGTTGAAGACCTTTGCTCTAAAGCAATAAAGAAAAAGTAGATAGTATGGTGACCAGTGGCAGCTGGTCAATAGAGGGCACTAGGGCGCCCCCACACCCACCCAATGAGCTTGATTAACATGACCAAAGGAGCAAAAAGCAGTGATCTGTCCAAACGGTCAGTAAACTGAGTTTGCTATAGAGTCCACTATATAGTTCCCGTTGTATGTGGACAAAGTAAGCCTGATGAGCTATGAGAACAGCACATTTTAAACAGGGCATGCACAAGGAGAAATGGGCTTGGCCATGCTCTTGCACACAAAATTTTGTTTTAAGTGATGAGGGTGGGTCTTTAAAAAAATCCTCCACTATACCTTCAAGACATAAAAAAATATATAATAATAATAAAATTTCATAAATTAAATAAAAAAATTGAAATATATTAATACATTTTTTAGATTTGCAAGATAAATATTTATTCTTTAATGGTGAGTAAAGCTGTTTCGTCGTCGGATTGATGACATTTTTTCAAATGTCAGGACTGACCTAGTATGGATACAGACAGGTAGGGCTGATTTAAAGCACTTTTTAGAAAGGGCAAAGAGGCATGAACAATCTGGGATTCACATAGAAAATAATATAATATTAGTGTGCCTTTTCTAGGTTTTTGTTAATTTGCATAGTTGCTCTTAAATATTTAAACTATTTATTCTCAGAAAAATAAATAGTTTTATATATAAAAAAAATGTAAAACTGTCAAATAGCTTCACAATTATTAAACTTTGTTTTAGGTTTGTGACACCATATTGGACCAGGCAAAACACAGATTTGCCTTCACAATACCCCAAAAGGGCAAAAAATAAACCTCTACATGAAATAATTTTTTTGTTTTTTTAAAGTGTTTTTAGAATTTTTGTTGTTGTTGGCATTCATATAAATATACTGGTGTGATACTTGGTATATGTTTGATACGTCTACTTTGAATTTATAGCCCCCCTGGAGAAAACTCCAATAGCCGCCAGTGATGGTGACCATAATCGAGGTGCGATGAAAGGTCTGAGTCAAGCTTGGATTGGACCAAGTCATTCTTATAAATCCAGACTTTTAAATTGAAACAGGCAGGATATAGACAGATATTCTTATTTTCCATAATCTCTTCTTTTATCTAAACCTAGACAGAAGATAAAATTTAAGTTGATGCCTTTTTTAAGCTGCATTGAACTCTGTTTAACTCTGAATATATTATATATATATATATATATATATATATATATATATATATATATATATATATATATATATATATATATATATATATATATATATATATATATATATATGGTATATTATATATATATATTCTATTTACCTTGCAGGCAGCTGCAGAGCCAGGTAAGGAGATATACTCCAGGCCAGGTTGACGTTATCTTTCCACTGCTTTTCTGTCAGACTGATATATTTGGACCTCCAGTTGGCGATGCTGGTTTCCACTGACTGCTCTGTTGCTATAGCGAGCTCCTGAGTGGATAACGGGTTGTACCATATTGTCAGCCGCTCAATCTCACTGGCCTGGGAAGAGATATGAAAGACAAGGATTCATTACAAAACTCTAAAAAAAAATGTGTTTAACTCGACTTTACAACACTATAGATATGTACGAATTACTATTGTAGAGAAATACCAGTAAAGCCAGTAACAGAGTCCGTCTTTTCATGTAATATTTGTGCAGCTGTGAACCTCGGTTGCTTTTCTTAGAGAGCCCTAAAAACAGGATATGGATGTGATCTTCATGATTATAATAACCCAAAATAAAACGGAAGTCTGCTAAAGAAGGTTTAACTAGTGTTTCACCTGACTTCTTGGAAATAGTTGACATCCCAGAGGACAGAGGGTAGGTGTTGATCCACCCCTGAGGAATCTGCTGCCTCTGGCCGACAGCGATGTCCAGACTGCTCCTGCTGTCTGCAACTGCCATTACAGACAGACTGTTCACCGACATGTCCTGGGGATCTGGATGAACAAAATCCTCATAAATCCATCCTAAATATTCATTAACTTCCTCATAATAATGCTAGTTTTTCTTAAGATAATAAAAAAGGAAGCATCTGCTTTTATTTATTTTTTTAATATAAAATCTGATCTGCAACAAACAAATTAAGTTGATGATGATGATGATTTTCTCTTAAAGAACAGATCATTTGTTAATATTTTGTTATTTTACCTGGGGGGACCAGCTGGGTAGCAGTGAGGTACTTCTTGTCAGACTGCAGGCAGGCATAAAACTTTATGATTATGCTGATGTCTTCTCTGAGTCTCTTATCTGTCTGAGTGGGAAATTTGGGAGCGACACTACAGGAAAACACAGATGGAAACAGTGATTATGAACAGAAGACTTTAAAATACAGAATTTTTTAACTCTATATTCATTTTAAATGCATTTTCTACCTAAAGAAGTCAAACGCTGTAGAGTAGATCTTCTCTCGCAGCACATTTCTGATGGTGGTGTTGGTCACAACATCAGCATGCAGCAGAGTTAAACCAAGAGTCAGCAGTCTAAAAGGATGGAGGTTGGTGATAAACTGCATTAGTTTACTATTATTCATTATTTTTGCCTGACAATATGATATTAAATCATTTTACCATTTTAATGTGATAAAAATATACCTGAATCTTGGGCCAATCGCAGCAACATGTCGGTTCAGGCTGCTTTTGGATCCTCCGACACTCAGAGAAAGAGATCTCTGCAAAATTGAAATGAAGATCTCCACCTGGTCCACGCTACTGTACTTGGCAATCTCAAACCTCTGCACCAAGAACTGTAAAAACAGCAGGAAATAAAATCTTTTATGAGTGAAAATAAGGAATCGTAGTTCTTCTCGGCATTAGATACTGGACACACACTTGTTTGTCCAGTATCTACTGCTGAGAAGAGGCTTCTTTGCTTTTTTGGCAATATCCTAATTTATATTTTTGAGGGGTGATTTCTATCATCATTATGGCTGTTTATTGCAAAATTCTACGTTGTTGAATTTTTGAATTCAAATGGGCTAAGAAATAAACTATCATGTCTGATTTGCTTTGCTGATTTAGTAGAAATTAATCCTATTTAAAAAATATATCCATCCAAGAAATGTTCTCCAACTTTGCTGCTTTGCAGAAGCATTGATGATTTAAATTAAAAGAGTGTAACTTTGTGTGAATGAGAGAAGATTCTCTGTGGACAAGGACTTACTGTCATTTCAAATAAACAAAACAAGAGTCTTTCTATTAAGATGTTTTAGCACCATGTATTAGCTATAACACAGTTGGCATTGCTCTCTGTAAACAACATTCTTACTCTGCATCCTAAAGTGAATATAGATTTTATTCATAAACATCTTCCTTCCACCTGAGTTATGTATTTTTTTTTTAAACAACTAAATCACCTTAAAAACACTTCAACACTTGTAGTTCTAATGTAAAAAGTTCAAGTTATTTAATTCTTTTAATACATCACTGAGAGCAAAAATGGCTCATCTTTAGTGTTATTCCCCACAGAGAAAACATCCAGCATAAAGACTGCAGTGTTCAGGGAAAATTTAACAGAGTTTATTTTTCATTCACCGATCTAACAACAATTAAACTTATGAATTTCCAGCCAGCTACCAGTTTTTAAAGGTGAAAAACATATTTGTTCATAAGCTGTAGACAATTTTTACGGGGAGTTTCCATATGCATTGGGCACAAACAGAGATTGCCTCTAAAGAAACCTAAACCTTAGGTAAATTCAAATAAAATGCTGACATTTTAATTTGAGGAAGAAAAAGATGCTGATGCTATATGGCTGCGTCTCAGTCACCTCTATCCAGAGGAAGTGAGGGATGACATCTGGAGCGCAGGGTGTTGGCTGGCTTTCCTCTGACACAGCCAGGGGTCTGGCCTCGACTTGAGTTTCTGAAAACAAACCCATCTTCAGCTCCATGGTCATCTGCCAAGCCCCTGCCATCTCACGCATGAACTATGAACATTAAAAGGAGAGAATAACATTACAATGCTTTCGCACAAAGTGGTATTTTAAACCTTTGCTGACATAAATGAAAAAGTCTGTGGTGAACACTTACTGGAACTTCCACTCCATTATGTGCAGCAAGGAGCCATTCCCAGCAGGCAATGGCCGTTTCCATCCCATGCTCTGAAAACATCTTCAGTGGAGACCAGCACAGATGGTGCAGCAGCTGGGGGTCGCAGTCTAAAAGACACTTTATATTAACTCTCAAACTCACATTACACATTTAAACTTCAGTTTAATGAACCGGACAGAGCTCACTTTTTGTATTTATAAGCAAAGCCGCCATTTTGAACATGACTTGAGTGAATGCTTCCGGGTCTTTTCTTTCTAGAGCGCTGGTCATTTGACTGATCATCATCTTGCTAAGATCAGAGTGGCTGTGTGTTGCCTCTGAAAACTGGATCATACCAGCCACCTGATGCAAAAAAAAAAACAAGCCAACAAATGCATTGATCATCATTCAGTATGCATACAATTTTAATTGGAAACAAATCTAATGCTAAGCTCTACCTCTCCGGTGTAACGGTTCCTTAAGTTAAGTGATGCCATGAAGTTGGAGTAATCTTTCTTCACACATGCCGGTCTCTCCGTCAGCTGAGTGGTCTAAACAGAAAACGTAATTTGTAAAGCCTGAGACCAAAAATTCAAGAGCTTGGAAAGTAGAACATGCAGCTGTGCAGTAAGAGTTGAGCATACACTTTTTGTGTGTGCAAGTTTTAAACCCCTGTCTGTCTGTAATTAGTGTTGAGACCAACCTGTGGAAAAGCAGCCTAGGGTTGAAACCATGGTGAAGGACAGCATCAGTTTAACCAGTTAGCCGAATGGATAACCAGCCATTCAAACCACCCGTCCATTGCCAGTAAGTAACCAGGTAAGCCGTAAATCAGCCAAACCACCAGGGAGGCAGTTGGGTCAGTTAAATGAAGAGAAAATACAAAAAAAAAAAAATGAAGCAAATAAAAAGACAGGTTTAGCAGAATGCAAGCACAGGAAAATATAACAAATGCTCAGCAAGCAAAATAAAGTTACACAGACTAGCTGGCATGCATACACAATACAGTAGGGTAAACAGACATATCTGTTGTTTACAACCCAGCTGTATGGATTTCAAACTCAACATAACATGTTTGCATGAAAAAAAAAAACTTCCATCAGTTTTATGAAAAAAGCAAGGCAGTTGCTGTAGAAGGAACATTTCCTTTGATAGAAAAGCATTTAATACTGAATAGATATTAACCAAAGGGCCACTGGGGCCAATGTTAGGTAAAATTATCGATCAAAGTGTGCCACACATTTTAATTAAGAATCTTTGAGCCTTTTAAAGTAGGAAACCTCTGAAAGTATGTGATTGACTCTGTAACAAAACAAGGCTATAGAGCAGGTGGAGGTTATAAATTTACAGGTATTCCTCATGGGGCATAAATGTAATTAGTACTACGATTTTTTTCTTTTAATCAGTGACTGCTTGCTAAATCCAAGATGATGACTGTTGGTCATTCCTCTTTTGTTTTTGCAAGTAAAGGCTGTAAATATTTCTGAGCCTAACATTACAGATATCTTTTTTTTTCTTCCGCATTTGGATAGCAATATCCAGTTTAGGTGTTACATGGATCTGTATTTCACCATCAATTTGTTTGACCTGGTGAACGACATCTACCAGGCTAATGTGCGCTCCAGAGCTTCAGCCCAAAATGTGTTAAAATAAGTTTAACCTGATGTGAAATATCAATCCATGAATCTGTGTTTGATTGTATCTTGGCAGTTGTCTGATACAAAGACACTGAATTTTTGCAACAACAACAAAAAACTAGTGAAAAACACATATGATTTTCAATACAGAAAAATACAATTTTATAGTAAATGTATTCAGTTTCAAACCATTCATTTTTGTCAAATTCATTTTTAAACTAATGTATTTCTTATCAGACGGATTACAGATTCAATTAGAGCAGTTCATATTCAGTTTCTGATAGCACAGGTTTCTGGCCATAGTTATGACTGAAAAAACAATCTTCTATATCTTACTGTACCCTTTCAAAAGCTGGGGGAAAAAATGACACAACAGCAACATGATAGAAATAAACATTATTTAAAAATATGAACCCTGTTATTATTATCCCCATCAATACTGACATGTTAAAAAATCAGTGACATACATAGACTGATGACAATGCCAATAATTTCAAATCCCTAGATGCAAAATCTTGACTGTGTAGAATAGAGATTTCACAATAATTATCCAGTTGTGCACCTATTTATTGTCTTCCTTGTAGCTTTAAAGATGTGTTGTATTATCACTCAAATTACCATGGGATAATTCAAACTAATAAATACAATTTAGTGATTGGTTGCCATTTCATGGGTTTATCAATATTTTTCTAGATATACGGTCTTTAACCTTTGCTCAACCTAATATCAGACATAGCGATGTGAATTATGCATCATTTTACAGTGGACACTTACACCAAGTGTAGTGCTCTGCCTGTTGTAGCCTGCAAAGTGCAAAATGCTTTCTGTGGCCATGGCAAGGCCAGTATGCTGAGAGAGTCCTGACACCCAGATCTGATGTTTGTTCAGGTATTCCTGCAAGAAAATGATCAGATAGGGTAAGAACATTAACAGCATAAAATACTTTTAGAGCAAATCTTTATTAGAGAAATATGTTTCCATCTCCTGCATTAAGATTCATAAGTTGTGCACAGAAGAACAAACCTGTAGGTGGGATTTTGTGACTGATGGGGCCCATTTCATTGCTTCTTTTAAAATCTCACCACAACGTGCTGCAAAGTCCTTAACTATGCTCTGCAATAAAATGTATATGTAACACTTATTCATCAAGAAGACTGAAAGACATTTACGGTAATCTAATTGTAACAAATAGGCACAATACAGGGTAATATATCATGCAAAGCTGATCAGTAACATTCAAGCCTCAGGATCTCACAATTGTAGAGTAGAGTAAAGTAAAACCCTCAGAGAAATTGTTCAAATTGTTCCCAAAGTGTCAACACCTTGTTTGGCCACTACTGTTTTTTCAGGAGTGCCTTAATTCTTTTTAGCATAGAGTTACATAGATTCTGTAATCCTATATATGACTCACAGTGAAAGGCAGATGCTTAAAAACAATATTCTGCTGCCCTCTATTGTTCACATTTAGAATTACAATTCAAACTCACCTCTCGAGCTTCATATGTGTCTGGAACAGTGATCCTGTACGGTGTGTCTGGAATATCATAGTACGGTTGATCCTTGTGTATGTCCTTAATAAATGATAAAGACACTGATAATGTGTAATAGAGCTTAAAGCAGGTGGTAATAATACCCTGTAAATCACACAATAGAAGAGGACCTGCAAAGTTTGTTAAGATGATTGAGCAAAGCAGTGTGGTGCAGGCTATAAGAGAAATTCACTTTCTTTTTTTAGTAGCATATTCTTTATGGATTTTGCTTGATTTCTATTTAGGACTAGACTAATTTTTGAATTAGAAACTAAAATGGTAATTATTTGGTACATATATATTCATTACAATGGTATAATGGTGTAACTTGCCACCATCAGTGTGTGAGTGTGTTGTGTGAATGGGTGAATGAATGTAGTGTAAAGCGCTTTGGTCAGGTCTCCTAACTTGAATAAAGGCGCTATATAAGTACATGCCATTTACCATTTACCATAAAACTAAAGCTATATATTTAGTTTATTTTAGAAACTCCTCTCAGTTACTGGACTCCTTTACTGTGTTCATGAGTAACAGCACTTTTAAGTCTATAAACAGGCTCAGGAATTTTTTGGGTTTTAAATATAATGCATCAATGAACTTATTCAGATAATTTTAAATGTATTTTTTGTGTTAGCATAAACTGATGTTATACTTTACCATGTAGGGTTAATAATGCACATTCTTTCCATTCAATAATTTTAAGAAGTTCAGAAATGTCCTCAATTTGGGTTTGAGCCTTATAAGATGTGATAATGGTGGGTTCAGAAACATGATGAGTTGAGAGCTGCTTTAAACTAATATAATCAATTAGGGATTTTCTCATTGGTTCACAGCTTATACGTACAGCGCTTAAAGACAGAGAGAGTGTTTGCAAAATATCCAACATGGTCTTCAGCACTCGACCACTCCACAGAAGATGGGGGAATCTGTTGAGGGACACAATAATTAGCAGAGAATACTTTTTTTAAAGACTGAGCCTACAGTTGTGCTTTAAAGTTTACCTACCCTTCCTTTAAAGACAAAAAAAATGGAAATCATGACACTATATTATATATATATCCTTCCTTAAAACCTGATCATCTGTAAAGATCCCCTTCATTTAGCTCCTGGCCTAACTTCTCTCTTGCAAATAAACTTTAACCGACCTCCACCCCATCTCCTCCCTCATTCTCAGACTTGTTTTCAGTCCCATTCACCATCTGGCTAATTCCACCACTAGTGTCCAGGCCTGGAGGGAAGGCTATAATAATCCTTTTCTAGGTTACTCGTCCAACTGTACGTTGATTCAAAGCATCTACGTTGTCTCCCGACTGCCAAAGAACTTATTTGGTTTATGTCTTAAAGTGCTTCTGTCTCCTTGAACCCCAGTTGGCCACTGCAAATGGCCACTCACACTGAGCCTGGTTTTGGTGGAAGTTTCTTCCTGTTAAAAGGGAATTTTCCTCTCCACTGTCGCTACAGGCATGGTCAGTGTGAGGGATTGCAGAGAGTCAATTAACTCACAATCAGCTGGTTTTCCTTAGATGGAAACATTTTGAAGAATCTGAATGTTACCTTTATAAATAAACTGAATAATACTTTTCTAACTGCAGCTTCTCTGCGTGAGTCTCTCCAGGTTGAAATTTTATACAGGTATGTTGGTTCACTGTTCATGAGCAAGGTTCTTTCATTTGTCAGGGTTTTTTTGTTTTTTAGAATATAAAAAAACAAACTCAAAATCAATATTTTATTTTACAAAATTATGATTTATCAAACTTAATTTCAGTTTTTTTTATTATTATTATTATTACTAATTTGAATTTATTATTTTTCTAATTGGGGGTATGTGAACTTCAAGTACGACTATATATAAGACAAGTGAGTAGCTGGACTCACGTTTCAGCCAAACCAGAGAGGTATTTGTCAGCCACCCTGCGGATTCGTTTGTGAGTGTGGTTGAAGTTGACCAATAAGAACTGAGCATGTCGTTCCAGCTCCTCTTCGTGTTCTTTAGTTTTCGGCTAAAAAATTAGAAAAATGCAAAAATGTTTAGCCAAATTAAAGAATGAAGTCTTTTTCTGATTAGAGGTCATGCTATCTACCTTTTCAGCCATCATCTGGAGGAAGACATCAAACACCTTGTCACCGACACAAATGATGCACTGCATCATTCCTAAAGGGATTTCATTGACAATAAAGAAGTTAATGACAAATTAAAAGTACTATGTAAACCAATGTGGTTTAAGCTCTTACCAGATTTATCTTTTTGGATGGCTTTGTCTTCAAAGTACCGAAACATGACCTGAAACCTGTCGGCATCATTTGATCGCAGCATCCTGACAAAGTATAAAGTTGAAGAAGATTATTAAAAACTGCACCAATTATATTATATTGAGGAACTTGTTGAAACTAAACAAGAGACATGTAAGATGTAGAGGTAGGTGAGCTGACCTCATGTATTCTAATCGGTAGACAGACAGCAGGTAGGTGGACATAGCAAAGTCTAGCTTGTTAATGAGAGCAGATCCTTCAGGAGAAGGGTCAAGCAGATTGCTGATTGTTGACCGCAGTTCACTCAACTCAGCCTAGAAGGCAAAAATGAAATATATAACAAGTTGGTGCTGAAGTTTGGTCATATTTAGAGTATGTAGATGTCTAACACCGTACCGGTGTCACTGTGTCATTTTTCAGAGCCGAGTTGTACTGCAGCTCAGAACGAAGAGGCTCTCCGCTTGGAAAGGTGAGGAGAGGAGATTTGGTGGCAATTTCACATACGCCCTCGTACCACTCCTCTGGCCATAACCCTAAAAACACAAAACATAAAAATTAAACATGTTGCCTAACTATGTTCATATATACATATATATATATATACACGCCTATCAATGACTGCTCATAGATCAATTGAAGAAACCAGTACACCCTTTGATACTGTGGTTTTCATAACCCCCTTAGCAGAGCTACAGTCTTCTGATGGACCTCAGTCTCTCGCATCCTTTTGGAAGAGTTTTGGCCAACACTTTTTTTATACATAGCTTTAGTTTATTATTTTTTTTTAATATTGCTAACACTCTTTCCACCATAGCTCTATCAAAGGTCTCTATTAAACTAGCACATAAATTCAAACCTTCAACCTGTTATTTTTGTCCATTTTCTTTGCAGATAAACTGCTGTTTAGACCTGTCGGTAACTCAGTTTGGGCTGAGATCCACTGCGGTGGGCCACCAAAGTAGCCAGGTGTTGTGTAGGCAAATTACCCCCTCCATTGTGCTTTACATATATGGAAATGGGCTTTTGCTAATGTGATCTAGTCAGTTTGTGTAAAACATTATGAGCAAAGATTGTCCAAGATTGTCACCTCTCCAAAGAAAATACTTAGAAAGATATTTTTTCCCCCCTAGGGAATCCTTCTCAACAAGCTCCTGTTCCTATCCCTAATTTAAGTGTATAAACTGTAATGCCTAACAGGCTGCATTTTTAGTAATTTAAGCATTGAATTAGTTTAATTGCAATTCTTAAAACATTTTCTACTTGTTATCCTTTATTTATGCATCTCTAAGGTCACTCCTTAAAGTTGTCTGTTTTAGGATTGTGATAAAAGACATTTCTGTCCTATGATTTCTTTTGTTAGCTTTTCCTATTACTGTACTGACTTTTAAGGAATTAATTTCTTATATTTGAGAAATTATATCTTAAGTTACTAAAACTACACTTATAATTTGTATATAGACTTCTCCTAATTTTGTTTAAATGTGTAATTACAGCTACTTGTGATTGACATTTTATGTGTATATGGCAACTCAAGGCCACTAACGCAACTTATGTGCAGCAATTTATTGTATTTGATGTCTTTTAGAGGTGCTGTAAGTCTGTGACGCTAATGAATACTTAAACGTTTTTCTCCTGCTCACCTGATCCTTCAACGGCAAAACCCATGACCACAGAGTACAACCAAAAGTCCCTGAACAGCTTCTGGAGACGAGGTTTGGCTTCTTTGATTGCTGGAAGTCTCCTGGTTAACTGTTTGGGGGGAAAAATAAAAATGGCAACAAAAATATGATAATTAATACTCTATAATAAAAATATTGACTCTTTTAAATGTAAACTGCAATTTTCTTTGTTCCATTCAAGGAACAAGTCAAATAAAGGACTGAAAATCAGGCATATTTGTTAGAAAGTACTTTATGGCAACCAATGATTAAATTAATGATAAATTAGAATAAAATTTTTCAACTAAGGAGATGAACTGTGAAGAGTTAAGGGTTTTAGTCAGTCAGCAGACTTTTTGGACTGTTTGATCTGGTCTATTTGTTCAAGAGCAGCACACATCAAAGTTCAGTTTTGAAGTCTTCGTCCTACAAACAGAATCAACAGAGCACTTCCCACCAGACACAGTAAAGGTAAGACACTTTACAGACTAGTTATTTACACGAAGATCTTTTGTCTTTGCGTCCGAGTATCTTCAATTTATGTTACTTAGGAAAAATTTGACGTTTCAGATAATTTCAAGGTTTTGTACCAAAGATTTTTATTTGCTCTGCCTTCAGGATGTGGGTGTTTGCTGTCATTTGTGTGATGTGTATGCTGGCCAGTCCATCCCTGGCTGGTATCAAAGAGCTCGATTCCCACTTTAATGACCCTAACCCAAACCCTAGAGGCCTACAGCCAGGTGCTGCAGTGGATGTTGATGCCATTCCTTTGGAGTTCCACAAAGAAAACACAGTCACCAATGACCTTGTGTTTGACGGCTTTGAGGATGAAGATTATATTGACTTTGATAAGATCCTAGCCGCAGGAAGTGATGATTATATGTAAGTTTCAGGAGTTTTGCTTATGTTGGGTTTCATATTGAAAATAAAATGTAAGAAGTGTGTGAAAACCAATAGAACAAAACTCCCAGTAAAATTTATTCTAAAAAAATATATACGGTATTATATAAATATAAAAAATATATATATATATATATTTAATGAAATCTTTTTCAGTGAGGGGGATGAGGTCGACGAGATAGCCACACCAGCTCCAGACATCGACATCTTTGCAGAGTCCTCCGACCCAAAGATCCGCAGAGCCAGACTCCTACGACTCTTCCATGGTCGATCTCGCCTTCAGCGTCTTAATACGGTGAATGCCCGCTTCGGCTTTAATCTTTACAGAAGTCTGCGTAACGATGTGAACCAGACAGACAACATCCTGCTGGCACCTGCTGGAATCTCCATCGCAATGGGGATGATGTCATTAGGCGCTGGATCTGAAACTCACCATCAGATCTACAAAGCATTAGGATTCGCTGAGTTTGTTAATGCCAGCCACCACTATGACAACACCACAGTTCATAAGCTGTTCAGGAAGTTGACACACAGGCTGTTCAGGAGGAACTTTGGCTACACGCTTCGCTCCGTTAATGATGTCTACCTTAAAGAAAACGTATCACTGAAAGAAACTTTCTGCACTGAAGTGAAGGCCTACTATTTTGCTGAGCCGCAGTCAGTAGACTTCACAAATCCAGCGTTCCTGAATAAGGCTAACAGTCGCATTGAAAAACTGACCAAAGGGTTAATCAAGGAGCCGCTAAAAAGTGTGGATCCAAACATGGTTCTGATGCTACTTAACTACCTGTATTTCAAAGGTGAGAGATATTCAATTTAACAGGTAATATAGACACATAAATGGCAATGTGAGTCTTTGGTCTTTGTACAAACAGGTACATGGGAGCAGAAATTCCCAAAAGAAATGACTTACTACCGAAACTTTAGAATCAATGAGAAAACAACCGTGCGTGTGCCAATGATGGCGAACAAGGGGAACTACCTGGCTGCTGCCGACCATGAACTAGAGTGTGACATCTTGCAGGTGGGTGGCTTTACACAGATTAGAGCTGCATCTTAATAGAGAATTTTTTTATGTATGATAGCTAGTTTTGATATTAAAACAATGATTAACCCACATTTTCCTCAACATTTGTTCTGTCATGTCATAATGTACCCACCATCTTCCTAAGCATTGTGGTCAATATTCAGATTAGGGATTGAAATAAATGGCATAAGCAAATATATTGAGGAAGGAAAAGTTTGAATTATGCATGGTGGCAGGAATGTTACAGCCTACCAAGCAGCTCTTTGGAATTGCAATATTGCATTGTATTGCTAATAGTAAGTTAAAACACAAAATACATATATATAAAAATCAAGGTGCGATGTAGAAAATCAAACATAAAGCAAACACTCCATTTATCGAAGGTTTTTGTCCTTTAGAAAAAAAACTTTGGAGTTTTGGAGAAGTAAAAAAAAAAAGCCATACCTAACCAAGCCTGATAAAAAAAAGGCATTAAAAGTAAATTACACATTCCATAAGGAATAATCTAAGATTTTAAAAAACATCATAGGACCTGTGTATCTTAAAAAAAACAGTGAAAGGGAAATAATACGTAGCTGCAATCAATAACAATAGAATTATAGTAAATGTGTTTGATCAGCTAGCTATAAACTGGTTAAAGCTAATAGGTCTTGAATAGGAATTTTAAAATGACTGACAGTCTGTGCAGCTGAAATTGGCCAAAGTACTTGTCCTAAAGTTTAGGCCATCAAGAATTTTTTTCCCCCCAAATTCTTAATCAGGGAGTGTTAAAAAAATAACTTTATAAATCTTAAATTGAATAGACTAGAAGACAGTGAAGGGAGGCTTGAAAGGGAGAAATATAGTGTTGCTTTTTCTTTTCTGTTAAAGGCATTTTAAACAGTGTGTTGACAGATGCCTATATGATGAAAAACTAAAGCCTTAAAGCTACAGTGTGTAATAATTACAGGCATATAAAGTCAGAAATTTAATATATTATACATAACTATGTTATTTATCATCACCTATGAGCTCAGCCTTTTAACCATAATATTTGCGTTGCCTTAGAATTCGTTATTTATAATTACATAGGAGCGGGTCTCGCAGCCATGGAGGCTGACATCTTTGCGCTACGGCAAGCGCAGAGGCAACAAACTAGCGATTGCGAGATCTCCCATGACGCTCAAAAATAACTACGGCAAGTTGAGAGAGATTAACTGAGACGGTACTGAACAGTAGATGGCAGTATTATGCCTGAGAAGCGTTTAGTCTGCCTGAAACCAAAGAAGAAGAAGAAGCAGGTATACTGCGCCTCAGTAACAAGAAAGGTGAACAAGGCGGCAGGCGTGAGTGACTTTGCAAACTGTTTGGCACTGTGTGGCCAAACATCAGACGAATGGAGGATCATGCCTACTCTGTATCACAACGAAAAGCGGCGGACACCGAACCCCCGTCATCTAAGAAGCGGAAACACGACGAGAATAAACGCAAGCGTGACAAGAAACGGCAAAAAACACGGATCAACATTGGCACGGCATTTACACGATGGAAGTCACTGATGGAGGAAAAAGGTTTTCAAAGTGACGCTCAAGTTGCCAGTTTTCTCTTGGACAGGTAATTAATCCTACACACACAATTGTCTAATATCACTGCAGTTTTTGGAGTACAGGATGCTCAGACCTGTCTAAAACAATAACATGCTGCGTGATGATGCTGTTACTCTCCAGTATACTTATTCAGCAACGTCCCTGACGTTTCACAGGTAATGATTCAGTAATTTTCTGTAAAATAATTTTCTGGATATATACCTCGGTTACTTCTCTCCGGCTCCTTTGGAGATCTTCAAGCCTTTCCTCCTCTGCTCTCACCCCGCTGGCTCCCCTCTCTCGCCTGGCCCTAGCTGCACGGCCTCCCTGCCTTCGCCCTCGTCCTCTCCCTCTCCCTCGCGTTGTAACCCCCGTGCCACCAAAATGACTTGGACTCTGTAAACGGGGGATATATATTCTTCCAGCGAACACAATCTCGCTGTTAAACTAATGACTACAATTACTTCGTCTGTTTATATCACCATGCAAAGCAGCTCACCAAGACGTCACAACGATGTAGAAAAAATAACGGGTATATTTATTATCTTAAGTCTACATGAAATCTATACCCTACACAGACTAATGAAATACTATCTGTAAAATTATCTATGTAAACAAACCTCATCACTTGAGAAGGTAGGTGATGCGGACGTCGTGGAAGACATTTTGTCCCGTAACGCTCGCCGTACTGTTGGGGGGGAGAAGCGGTGGGGGGGAGATGTTCATGTTGCTGCGGTCTGTAGTCTGACCGCTAGATGTCGCTGAAAATTACACACTGTAGCTTTAATAACTAAGCTACTTTTATTGCAAGGACAATTTTCATTCAATAATTTATCCAGCTCTAAAATTCATATTTAATAAGAACATGTTTAACAAACAAAACTAAGCAGCACAACTTTCTTATCTTCAGCTTCCATACACAGGAAACATCAGCATGCTCATTGCCTTGCCAAGGAAGATCACTGGCATGAGGACACTGGAGCAGCAGATTTCCCCCACTGTTGTCAACAAGTGGCTCAAAAACATGACAAACAGGTCAGTCGCAGGAAAATATTTTAACTGATCGGATGATTTTACTGATATACAACAGTACAGAGAGAAATAGCTGTGTTTCCATCTGCAACTGCAGGGATGAAATTAACGTGCTCAAAAGAAATTCCCAGGAACAATCAATAAATTCCTTCAACAGAAGTTCACTGATATTTAACCAGTCAGCAGCGAGTTAAGACTCAGCATGTTTAGCTGAGACCTGGAAAAACAGGGAATCTATTTTATTAGAGTAAAAAAACATTTGTCTATAAGTGCATCACCAAGAGGGGAAATCTCTTAATTTCCATATCAGCAAATGAATAAAATATTCACGTAAACTGTTTTTTTTTTTGAGAAATAAAGAAAGAATAGTTCAGGTTTTGTTGGACTTTATTGTGAGGATAGTATTCTTTCCCTCTTAGGACTCGAGAGGTGTTGTTACCTCGCTTTAAACTGGAGCAAAACTACGACCTGATTGGAAGTCTGAAGAAGATGGGACTCACTGACATTTTCAAGGAGAGTGGAGATTTCAGTAGAATGACTTCAGAAAAGGTTGCCTTGAACTGGGTG